AAAACAAAAAAAAAAAAAAAAATAGATATCTCTGCAAAAATTCCTACTTAATTTCATTGCTCAAATGAACAATAGCAACCACTCGACTATGATGCTTATTAATCGATGGTTCAAAATGTTGGCGATTAAAAAGAAATTCGAAAATTTCATCACCAATGTTATCTAATAGCTATTTAAATATTTGAAAAGAAATACAAATTTTCGTTAACGAAAATGCTCATTCCTTTTCAAATTTCTACTGAATAATATTTTCGAACCATTATCAAAGGAAACAAACTATAGTAGCAATAACAACCATTAACGGATGATAGCTCATTGATCGATGGTTCGAAATATTAGTAAAACAAAAAATCCAAACTCATTTTCTTTCACTCTTTCCAACAGATAATTGAAAATTAAACAGTGAAAGTAAGATGCTGCGGAAAAAAGAAAAGTGAATGAATAGTTGAAATCTCAACTGTTTCAGCTTTTTCGAACAACTACTTATCCTTTTATCCTTTCATATCCATTTTTGATATAAACACAGGTATGATATGGTTTCTAAAGAAAGCCATGAAACAACGCTCATGATATCATTAATGAAATCAATTCGCTTAATTTGAACTAAATTAGTCTAAATGAGTCTAAATCATAAAACTAATAAAACATGAATACTCATTCGTTCCCCCAATTTTACAAAATAATTTTCTTTTTAATTTTGGAAAGATGACATAATTTTCCGCTGCTTACTTGCGGTTTATCGAGAAAATTTGAAGCTCTGGTAATACAGTTAATTCCAACACTTACATCATTATATCCAACATCGTTATAATGTTTGCAAATATTTGAATTCCTGAAAAATCGAGATTTTTTTTCTATTTTGTACTTTTATATAATAGTTAAAAAACCTCAACTAAAACATATCCAGGCGAATATCATATTATAATCGATATGTATATATATATATAATAGGAAAAAAATATTTAGCAATATAATCAAGTGTACTCACTGAAACTTATTTTTACATATTAAACAAATCAATACATAATAATGTAAGAAATGTTTACTCCAAAAATATTTCATATTAATAAAGGAAAAGAAGAAAGAAAGAAAGTAATGCATGAAGTAATATATAATTCCTATAACATCAAAAATATTATCAGAAACTCGACCCAATCATTCAGTTACCAATGTATAATGCATCGTTTTTTGTTCTAAAATAGATCATTTTGACAATCAATAACTTGTTCTGTTAAATCGATGCGATGATCAGGATATTATTAATGACAAAATCATCTGTCATCGTCAATACGTTAACGTCATTCTGATTTCTTTATGATTTTTACAATACATATGATACGATGATTATTTTTGACATTAACAAACATTATTACTTCCATTTCTTAATATAATAGTCGAACGAGATTTTTTTTTTGTTTTGCTTTTTCCCTTTTTTCTTTGGTAAGAAATGATAAATACAAAACAAGAAATACCAACAAGCAATAATTTTGTCAAATTTGAAAAAAAAGAAAAAATTCATGGAAAATAACATGATAATAGGTGTAAAATAATGACCGTAAAAAAGTTTACGGATACCATAAACAAAAAAAAAGCAATTAAATAGTCAAAAGAATATAATTGTTAAGAATGAATTTATCGAGCAACATAAGGTAAGCAAGTATGCTTCGTGGACTTTCGTTAATACCTATCCGTATCATCTGACATTAGAATAAACAGTAATATCATGATAATAACATGAACAAAACTCAAAAGAGAGCACAATATACCGTGACGATTAGCCTCAAGTTATCAACTTTATCTAAGGTAAATATGCTTCGTGAATAACACTGAATGTACATCGAGTAGTTAAAGCTTTCGCAGTAACATACAATGACATACATAAGAAACAAATATTTGAATAATACAATTTTGCAGGAGTGCTTTCTACATACATGATTGAGTGAGTGATTAAGGGATTATACAAAATAAGGACAAAAATACCCTTCTCCGAAAATTTCTCATCAAACTCCAAGCAAACCTACAATTAGTAATACACCGTAATTTCCCTTACTTAATTAGCTGAACAGCCATAATTAGCATAAAATAACATTGTACATGCTAAATTTTACAATTTCACGAACGACTAAATGTATATCTTCCGGTTTTCTCTCTAAAAAATTCAAAAAACTGTTTTTTCCTAAAATTCGTCACTCCAAAATTTATAGAAAAAGAAACTGCAAACTTGATCATAACTTCATAACGAAATCAGTGAGTATTCATGAAGGAATAATATCTGACGAAAGAAATAATATCTTGCATGATGACGGAAAACTAATGTAACAACACACATTTTAAAATGGAACTTCAAAAATGAATTGCCCCAATTTTTAATTACCTGAAAACAATAAAATAACAAGCAAGCGTAAGAGTTTTATGCCGTACAATATATCTATTGTACTTAATCCGGGGATAAAAATCGCATCGTTTTTTAATTTCTTGAGGATCATTATTGATTGGTTTTTCAAGCGATAGAATATAACCTGAAAAATAATAACAAAGCAGCATGAATGATCCACTTAATAAAGTAAACATGGACAGTCACTTAATTATAAATAATGGGAGCAAAGAAAGATCCATTTAGCAAAACAAACGCAAAATTGAACAATGAAATCAAAAAAAAGAAAAAAAAACCAGTTACTTTTTAATTTCGGGTAGAGGTGTTACCCGAACTACTGGGTTATGATATCCCTGTAATATCTGCAAAATCTGCAAAAAAAGGAATATTTTACCTGAATAATGAGATGATGAGCATTGATGAAGCTGTACGAAGTGACACTAATGAATTTAGGATCTTTCCATGAAAGGGGATAAAGTAATCTTCAGTTCTAGTTGTGGATTTAGCACGTCATTATTGCACTTCCCCATTTTCTTCACCACTGTTTCCACCTTTCGTTTTCGACTATTTTCACTTTTTTATTTTCACTCTTTCTTAGTTAACTGTTTTCGAGTTGATTTTTTTATCTCCATCTAAATACCAGCAAATTTATATAAATCGAAGGAAAATTAACAATAATAATATGGGTAATGTAAAACACTTCCGAAAGCTACGATTACTGAACTGAGCTAAGATTAAGATAACCTTTCAAAATTCTACAATTACTCGCTTTAACGGTTTCCTTTTGACGCTAACACGATTGCATGCCCGATAGCGGTTCTCGAAAGATGAGTTCAACAAAAGAAGGTTATCTACCAGGCAGATACATGATTAGATGATAAAATCAAAAATGTTTTATCTTTAACAGTAAAACCAACAACAGGAATTTTCGAGGATTCCCCAAAGTTATCAGTTTTAGTGTCAGTCAAATTATTTTCACAAAATTGTATACTTTCCTAGACTGATTTCCCCCTTTAATACTGTTTCCCATTTAAGAACTACTAGTCAGCTATTTTCCTTTTTCGAAACTTTGTAAATAGATTTTCCAGATACCTTTATGCTTGCGAACAGCCAGTAATTTTAGAGTGAACATGGGTACGAATGACACGATACGAGAATGGCAAACGGATAAAACAGCTTCCTGATTCGTACCGGATAGCAGCCTGGAATATAACGACCAGAAATTAAAAGGCGAAAGAACTTGACAAAAACTTGAACTGAAACGATTTATAAAAAGAAATACTGCCAAACTTAATATGAGATAGCAATTAATGACGATCAGAAATTAAATGGCGTCCAGAACATTGAAAAAATGTTTCATTGGAAAAATGTTGCGAAAGACGAGCACGAATAATAGACGTGTCTTAAAATCGAACACGCAATTCATGAGCTTATTTGCTCATCTCTTTCAGTTTTCATGTTAAAAGTTAAAACTACTGTCATGAGTCTTTATTAATTATGCATTATTTTTAAAATGGAACCATGGAAAAATTAATATGTCAGAAAGTTGGAAAACCCATATAATAGAGGAAAACTGGGAAAAGGACACGTATCTCATACTTTCTTTCCGTGCAATCTTTCACTTTTCTTACAAAAAAAAGAAATACTTTGATTTAATTTTTTAATCTTTCTAATCTCAAAGGAAAAAAGTCATCCTCCTCGTATAAGTCAATACAAACAACAAATAAAAAGAATTATCTCTACCCACCGGAAGTGAAATAGGTTCTGCAAGAAGTCTATAATTGTAGTGAATTCGCTACTAGTGGGCATATGAATTCCATTTACTTCAGGCTATGCTTGACTTTCAGTTGATTCTTTTTTCTTCACTGGGTTTAAATTCGACATGACAAATTAAAATTAATCTTAGCTGAAAAGTCATTCCATATGACTTTTCATATTTTAAAAAAGACACTTGATAAATTTAGGTTTAGTGTTTCTCTTTTTTTGTAGATATCCTATTCTCAAATTTGAGTAAACTTCCCATTTTTGGTACATCCATTTCTATTTTCTTCATTAGTCCATCAATTTGGTAGTGATTTCTTTTCTGATTCCTCGATTACTCAATTTCGTTAAATTGGTGATTATTTAACTACGCGAAGTCAATTTAAAAATTCAATAATCCAATCAAAATATTTTTATTCAATAAGTATCTCATTTATGACGTACGTTTTGCTACGCGAAGATTAGATCATTCAAAGGCTGTTTTATTCCACCGAATGATAACTGCGATGTATTTTTTCTTTTTTTTGGGTAAAAAAACATTATATAAGTGCTATCTCTTTTTAGTTTTGTTTTTAAAATTGTTCATCATATATATATATATATATATATATATATATATATATATATATATATATATATATATATATATATATATATATATATATATATATATATATATA